CATGAAAAGATGCTCAACATCATTAACATTGGGGAAATGCAAATCAAAACCACAATGAGATACCACTTTACATCCACTAGTATGGCTATTATTAAAAAAAAAAAGAAGAAGAAAATAACGTGTTGGTGAGGATATGAAGAAATTAGAACCCTCATGTATTGCTGGTAGGAATGTAAAATGTGCAGCCACTGTGGCAGACAGTTTGCTTGTTTCTCAAAAAGTTAAACATAGAATTAGCATATGATCCAGCAATTCTACACACACACACACACACATATGTATCCAACAGAATTGAAAGCAGGAACTCAAACAAATAATTGTACACAGATATTCACTGTGTGGAGCCCTGGTGGCATAGTGGTTAAGAGTTTGACTGCTAACCTAAAGGTGGGCAGTTCGAATTCACCAGCCACTCCTTGGAAACCTTATGGGGCAGTTCTACTCTATCCTATAGGGTCCCTGTGAGTTGGAATTGACTCGAAGCTATTCACAATAGTCAAAATGTGGAAACAAACCAAGTGTCCATCAATAAATGAATGGATAAACAAAATGTGGTATATACATACAAAGGAATATTATTCAGCCAGAAAGAGAAATGAAATTCTGATACATACTACAACATGGATTAACTTTGAAAACATGCTAAGTGAAATAAATCAGATAAAAGGACTGTAGGACTCCATTTAAATGAAATATCTAGAGTAGGCAAATACACAGACAAAAGTAGATTATGAAAAAAAAAAAAAAACCTGTTGCCATCAAGTCAATTCCGAGCCATAGTCAACCTTATACGGCAGAGTAGAACTGCCCCATAGGGTTTCCAAGGAGTGGCTGGTGGATTCAAACTGCTGACCTTTTGGTTTGCAGCCGAGCTCTTAACCACTGTGCCACCAGGGTTCCAAAAGTAGATTAGTGGTTACCAAAAGTTGGGGAGAATGGGAAGTTACTGCTTTAAGGGTACTGAGTTTCTATTTGGGGTGATGAAAATGTTTTGAAAATAGACAGTGGTGATGGTTGCACAACATAGTGAATGTAATTAATGCCATTCACAATGACGTCAATTACAACATTCATATAATTAATGTCAAAAATGTAGTTATTACTATTATTATTACTGAATAAGGATTCTACTTGTTAAGTTATGTAATGTTTTGTTTAGCTCTAGCGAGTTGAACTATGACCTAAGAATGGAAAGTACAGAGTTCAGGGGAGAACTTTATGACATGGCTATTGGAAAACAGAACAAACTGCCTCATAAGATAGTGAGTTCTCTGTTTCCAGGGGCACTCAAGCAGTGCACTGGCATTACCAGGACACAGTAAAGGACGTCCATTTGTCAAGAAAAAGTTTGGAGTAATTATCCCTGAGTACCCTTTCAAATGTGAAATTCAGCAATTCTAAATACCACAAGCATTTTGATTTGCAAGTAGATGTACTCCGTAAAATGTTTTTAATTTCAATCTATTCAAAGTAGTAAATATAAATTCTTTTGGCAAGCTTATTGCAGCGTCGCCTATAGACTATCCCTTTTGCCTAGGGAGGATTTCAATTCCATTTGATCCTGAATTCCAACCAATCCAAGTCTCTCGCACTTTAATTTTAAACCCACGTGATCTTGGTCTTGCTTGAGACTCCGTGGTCCAGGCAGTATTTGCTCTATGTGGTCATCATTGAGCAGTTCCCTGTGTAGCCGTGTGAGATTAGCTTACAGTCTTGTGACTCAAGTTGCCATGGACTTAATACTGGGATGTGAAACCAATTTCAGAATCCTTAACTGTCCCAGATTAGAGATACAAAGTCATTCACGGGTTGTTAACCCAACAGAGCCCCTTCAATGAAACCGAAGACTCTGAAGAAGGGTGGCTTTATTGAGCACGTCTCTACTAGCCATTTTTCATGTTTTAAATAGTGAGGACTCATAGAAATATCAATAAAATGCATTTGATTAAATGGGCCATCAACTGTCTTGATTGTCTTCTTTGAGTTACTCTCAGGCCTCTATCCACTCCACTATTGTCATTTTGACAAGTTTCCACTTTGTCCCACCTTCTTCTTCACTTCTAATCAAATGTTTAAAAAACATGTTGAATTGGCAAATGTTCTGTTATTTATATTTTTACAATACAAAAATTCTCAAATTGGAATAGTCAGACACTAACTACTGTAACAAGGAAGATAAGTGTTTTATGTCATGCAAATATGCCTGAAGACCAATGGCTTTATATAATTTTTTGTTTGTCTTTCTAAGGGTTTTACACATACATTCTCTCAGTGTTGAGGGTATAGTCCTGCAAAGAAAGCAGAAAAAATGGATAGAGCAGTTCTCTATTCTCAGGGAATTGTGACTTCAGATGCTTACCCGTGCTTGGAAATATATCGTGCTAAATGGAATTTTCACACATCCCAACCAGTGTCTCTCAATACGGGTGTGGATTCCGCTCCCTCTTTCACGGTCATCCTAAAGGAGACGTGGGAAGTAATAATTGTTTAAGAGCTTCAGACACTCATTTCCTTAATTTAGCAGCAGGGAAGCAGCAGAATTTTAGCTGAAAGCATATGGACTTAGGTTAGAGAAACTTAATTTCAAAAATTCTGGTTCAGTCACTTAATAGCTTTGTGACCTTAGGAGAGTCACTTAAACTCTGTGAACCTCAGTTTCCTCATTAATAAATTATATAACAACACTTCAGAGGGTTTGATATATAATTAAATAAGACAATGTCTCTAAAGCACCTCATACAATTCCTGATATATAGTAGATAATGCAGTTAAAAATAAAACAGCTAGTTCTCTTCCCACCTTTCCCTGTTTATACATGTCAAGTTTCAAACTTTTCAAGCATAAGAAAGATAGAAAATGTGATTGGGATTTTTATCATGGGTCCAAAACCAAACCAAACCTTTGCCTTCGAGTCAATTCCGACTCATAGCGACCCTACAGGACAGAATAGAACTGCCCCATGGAGTTTCCAAGGATGCTGGTGGATTTGAACTGCTGATCTTTTGGTTAGCAGCCAAATGTTTAACCACTGTGCCACCAGGGCCCCCATATCACGGGTAGAGGATATGAAAATGAGTAGAGATGTCTTCCTCAAAACTTACCTCTAAGACATCATATAGCACCTCATCAAAAATGTTAATGAACACATCATCTTTCACTGACTGCAAACTGGCCGTGCTATAATCTCCATTAGGGGCTCTGTAAGGTAACACACGACTAGGTTACCACGAGAATGACAAAATAAAAAGTATGAGCACTGAAAGACTGAAATTTGAAAAATGCCAAAATATGAGCATAGATGTGAAGATTAAAACTGGTGCTTTCATTT